TCTTACATTAACAATAAAAGTTCATTTATTGCTAAAATGAAAAGCAATCAACATAAATAAATGCCTTATACATGGACATAGTGAGGCAGATTAATTGAAAATTCTTTCCCTGTGATTAGCTTTATTTTCTTATCTTTGCTTGATAACTGAAGCAGTACATGCACCATACATCTTGGTTAGACTCATTATATTAATTCATAGTTTTCAGAGAAGTAATGTGTAATTAGGGAAACTGAGATTTGAGGACAACAGTAAAGAACAGTAGCGTATAATACTCACATTTGTCACAGCAAGACCTGTTTGAAGAATTTTCCTTCTTTTAAGGCCTGATTGAGATCTAGTAGCTTTGGGACTCCTGAGGATAACACTATCTGAATAAAAAGAATAAGTGAAAAAGAGAGCTTAAATGTCACCCAAGGAGTATAGCCCTTTAAGGCTAAGTTATTAGTAACATACTGGTTTTAGTACTGAACCATGACTGCAGACAACTCTGTGGATGGAAGGATTCCAGGGATATACAGCTGTTCTTTTTCACAAATATTCCTGTCTAAAAGTGCAGAATAGCAGTCCCACCACTCCACCATGTCCTGCAGAGGGAAGGTAGAGGCAGAAATAAGCTTACTTTGCATAAGAATTTCTAAGTATTTCAGTGAAATGGGACAAACTGCAGGATGAATCTGGTCATTCCCTCTGTTCACAGTTTGAAATGATGTGGCCTCATACTGCCAAGATCCAGGGACATGATCTGAGAGTAATTTTACAGAAAGATTTTGAAGAGCACAGTTCTCCAATCTCAGACTTGCTATTTTTCTTAACAACAACAACAACAACAAATAATCCTTTGCAGAGGCCCTTGGTTCTTGAAAGGAAAGCTCTTATATATGAAAGTAGAAATAAATATGGCATCTAACACCTCAAACTAAGGGTGAGATATCAACATGGCTTAAAATATGAATGATGAAAAAAGCCTGATAAATACCAGTGGAGACACATTCTTGTGGCTTCTGTATCCCTTCAGCTACAGAAGCTATTCCAGTTGTTGTGACTTTCTTGCATCCTGACCCCTGCTCTAAATAAAATGATTTCCATGACTTAATCTTCTGTCACAAGTGAGATGTCCCCAAGCATGAGTCTTCAGTAGCCAAAGAGCTCAAAAGGAGAAATATCCCTGGACTTCATAAACAGCCCAAGGATTAAAGCTTGTATGTAAACTCATGTTGAGATATGCCTTAATCATCTCTGCCTTGAATAAATATTGCACCAGCCTATGTTTTTCCTTTCTGCATCAAAGCTGGGGAAGTCTTATCTACCAAAAGGTGCAATCAAGGTATCAGCTTATACATGTGCTTCTAAGAATACAGATTTTTTTTTTATTTTTTTAAAGTACAAGCATAAAGAAAATCTTTGCTTTTGCAGGGGACCCTTGGTTAGAAAAGCCTCACCTCTACGTTGTTGAGTGGCTAGGTTGAGAACTATGTGGAGTCTGTGTTTCATGCTGTTTTTTTCATATAGCAATTGATTTTAGATAGCACTGCAAACCAAGGAAGGGGCATGACTGCTGTTTGTGTGCCAGGGAAAGCAATGAAAATCTCTCTGTGAGATATACTGACAACTGAAACAAATATATTGCTTTGTAGCTACAGAGCTATCCTGTGCTCCTCTCTCTAAACTAAATCTAGTTGTTAATAAAACAAATACCTTACTGGTTCAAACACGTCTTTGCATGCTTTTGTAGACCTTCTGAATGATTGGCAAATTTGCAACAGTGGTAATTCACCAGAGCCTTAAAATTAATTTTTGTAAATTTTTGTTCAAGTTTTTTGTTAAATGCAAAATTTATTTTTTTCGTTACCTAAAATTAAATAAAAAGACAATTTTAATTCATTTTTAATAGCTATTTTTATAGTTTATGGTTATTTAAATAATCTATATTTTTAAAAAATACATTTGCTGACTGGCTTTTCAAGGCTTCCCCTTTTCTGATAGATGGATTTTTTTACAAAATTCACTGACAGCTGCAGGCAAATATGTTAGCAGAAACTTTAATAAAGTCTTTGTTTTTTAAAGCTTCAAAACTAAACCTGGAGGCTTTAGTTTTCAATAATAGAACTAAGTACATTTTGATCAGTGGCTGTTTTAGTGCTATGCAGGTAAGATAATTGTGTCTGACCAGGTTGTCATTGTGATCGTGATAGTGAGCTGTCACACAGCTAATATGTTGGGTTACAGTTCTATGTTTAAAAAAATTAACTGTTCAAAGATTGTATCACAGTATCAGCTAATTGGACATTGGGCACCACGATTTTTTGAAAATACCCAGGGTCATGCTAGAGAAGTTTCTAAGTAATATGTAATAAGGGAATGTCTTTTCAGCATCCATGGGAGACTGAAGAGGATGATGCTCTTAGCATGTAGTTAAATATTAATAACAGGGAGAGGTTGGACTTATTTTTATTCTCTAAAACATTGTTAATAAGTCTCAGTCTGGCATTGAAAACATTAGGCACATTACTGTGTGCCTCACCTTTTTAACCTTGTTTGCATGTTTAAGTAAACATATTTTCAGGTTTTTTTGTGATTATTGACAAAAACAATATGTTAAGTCAGTGCTGGGCTTGGGAGAGGAGCACATTTTGCCTCAAATTCGTCTGTCGCAAACAGAGTAAATCATGATAGCCCCAACAATTTTATCTGTATTTGAACTGCACATGGCTTGGTTGTCCATAATAAAAGACAAGAAAGTGGAGCTTAAAGTTATCCACACACACACAAAAAAAAAAAAAAAAGGAGAAACATTAAAAAAATAAACTGGATTAGGAAACAGATGAATATAACGACCTTCCTTACACTCAATCATATGCTGCCAGATAAGTGTTTGAGTCTGAAAAATTGCACTAATGAAGCTATTTGAAGGCTTTTGTGGACAACTGCTTACTCTTTGAAGATTAAATGAATGATGTTGATGTGATTAATCTTAGTACAGGGAGTGATGCAGCAGCCAGAAAATACCTTGGTGATTTTCATAATTAAACTGAATCAACATTTCAAAGAAATGCCAGTGTTATCACTTGTATATTAGAATTACATTCATTAGACAGAAGAAACAAATAATTTGAGCAAACAAGATTTTCCTTTTGGTGTACTGAGACTTCTGTCATGTCTCAGAGTATCTTACTATAAATCATCATTACTGTTTAATTTTATCCTTGCTTTTTCAGTTACTTTTTTCTGTTTATTTTTTCTTAACCATCCTAATGATTCACTGTTACTTGCTTCCTGATTACTTTACTATTAAATAGCCTTTCCTGGTTTTCCAGTTAAAATTGCCTGCTCACTGTAGGGTTTCAAATCATTGACACTGAAAAATAATGTGAGTAGTTGCTGTTTTATGTGGATATGGGACTCAGGCATCCCAATGAACTCTTGCTTTGCAAAGGCTCATCTGTAAAGGATAGGACAAGCCATAGTATACAGGAGTGACAACAGGCTACGTAAGAATAAGAGCACAAATGGTTGTTTATAATGATCTGTGGAAATAGCACTTTGGGTCAGATTCTGCATGACTACCTCATTTCCCAAGAAATATGCTACATATTTCAGTAGGTCTGCCCAAAGTAATATTCCTTAACAGCTGCTAAATTGGCAGAATCTGTATTCACATAATTGAGTCCTTAAGACCACCTTAAGTGGTCTTTAAGAGTGCGTGTTTAAAATATCAGAATAATATATGCACACTATTTTGTAACATAAGGAACTCGGGGTATTTTATGTTTCCCAACAAACATTCACAGACACGTAGGTGGACACACATATGCACACATATACTCAAAGGCAGTAAACTTGCCGACCTGCTTAAACAGTTTTGGTATAAGCAATGAAAAAACAGTCAGCTGATTCTTTATTGCAAATCCAAGTGAGGGTATAGGGTTAATGATTTCTGCATCCATACAAATTCACTGTGTTACTCTTCTTATCACCACTTCAGATTACTGGAAAGGTTGTTCTGTGACTTTTGGTAACCTTGATATTTACAGTGTACTTCTAGTTGTTGCACAATCTTTCTTTTCACAGTTGCTCAATAGATATAAAACCCTCAAACTTCTTTAGTACAGTGGATAAAAATCTAGCTTTTCATCTGGAGGATGCCAGTTTTAGTTCATTCCTTAATCTGAAGTAGAATGAGCTTGATGGTTTCCACCCCATCTCTAATGGGCAATTATCATCACAACCATCAAGTGGTAGTTTTCTTCCATACTCATATTAAAAGCTGTACATGGACATGGAATTCCAAGGAAAAGATTTTTGTGCTACTGTTGAGATATGATATAAAAAATGCTTCCTCTCCCCATCTGACCTCAGTCCCTTCACCTAGCCATGTCTTTCTGCATAGCATACTCCATTTACCTGAGCTCAATCTTCCCATCCCTTCTTCATACAAGAAACACTGTACTTTCTATCTTCCCACACGTCATTTTGTCTATATCTTTTCCCATTCTTCTGTGGTGTGCCCGTTAGGTTTGGCACTACTTGGCACTATGCTTTGTGTGTGGCTTAGTAGTATTCCTTACTCTCAAAATAAATGTGATTACCACCAGTACCAAGGCACCTGCAGGGGGCAGAGGCCAAGGTACCTGCTGTAATTAATGGTCTGAAAGTGAATCTGATGAAATTCATGGGCTGGCTGATTTCATATGCACATCTGTCATGATGGGTGGCATCCCTGTATTTATCAGTCATCACAGAGTGAACCTTGTGACCAAAGAAAATGGTCAATGAGCTGTATGTTCATCTCACCTACTTTTAACCATAAAAGAGACAAATTGCCTAGTCTAAGCTAACAGTTAGGTTTCTGATACTGCTCATGAATAGAGAGGTAGACTTTTCTGAATGGAGATTTATTTCACCTGAGAACAGCTGACTGTGACAGCTGAGCTGAATAGCTCTCTGGAGGTGCCTATCCTTTCGATGGCGCTAGTACAGATGTAAAGCCTCAGCAATTAACCAGCCTTGGGGAGCTGTACCTCCTCAACTCAGTCTTTGTGGCCCAGGTCTGCATGAATTTTAGGTAGCTCTGAAAAAGAGCATGGGAAAATAGGGAGTATGTTCAGTCAGGAATTTATTTTGGCTGCAGTTGTGAGAACATGCAAATGACTCCAAAGTCATTCATGTGGAAGGAGCAACAGCAGGTTGGTTGGTTGGGCTAGAAACTTTTCTTGCCTTCTCAGAGATCCAACTTGATTTCTTTGCCTTAAGATGAGAGGAGAGCAGGATAAAAAGAGGAAGTATCCCCTTCTCCTAGGGTCAATAGCAAAATGTATTTTGTATGACTGTATATTTAGATGTTTTTTAATTTCTGTTACTTGCTTCTGCTCTTAAAAATTAATGTAGTGAGCATCCCTCGTGATATCTCAGATGTTTTAAATACCATCTGCCTTTTTCTCCTCTCTCCCTTCCCATTCCTGAACTTGATCTAGGGCTGCATGATCCCAGCAGAAGGCCTGTTAAGATCAGTGGCTGAACATAGTGTAGTGCATGTGCTGCCAACGTGAGGGCACTGGTCCTGGTCAGGTCAGGATGGTGCTGCACCATTGGGCCTGAGAGCTTGAGGTGATTATCTGGCAAAGGTACAGACAGGAAAGGAAAAGTAGCTGAGATAGTCAGCTGTGATAAGCAGCTCCTGCACAGAGGTGGTAAGGAAGCAACAACAGAGAGTGGGTGTAAGAGCAGTATTAATCTTCTGTTATACCATGCTAGCTACATGGATATCATCAATTCCTTTTGTGTAGTTACAGTAATACTGATTTCTTCCTTTGGGACAGACCAATTAATTAGGGTGAGATTCCCTTCAGCTGGCTTTAGACATTCAAAAAATAGGCATTGAACCTGAACTGTTTGTTCAAGGTCTCTTTGGAATCAATGTAAAGATATAACACCTCGTGGGAATTCAGTCCACCTCTGAACAAGTATCTCATGCAGGATAGATGAATCACTCCTTGGAGGTACCTATTTCTCTTCATTTTTAAAGGGTTACAGCTAGGGAGACTCAATCCTTTTCCTCCTATAAAATATTTATGTGATTTCAATAGTCATCTGACCATAAAAAAGGCAGGCAGGAGCACACTGTACAACACAGATGTGTTTTATGCATACACCAATATACATATTTGTGCATTCGTATGGCTACAGGAGCCACGAGTAGTACAGGGTCTTCATTTAGGGAAGCAACGCTATGGAACAGCTCCAGTGAAAAAAATGTAAAGGCAAAATCTGCCTCTTCTGTTGGAGATTTCCAGTTTATTAACCCTGTTGGAAGCTGGGAAGACTACTTTTTCAGACTTTTGAGAAACAGTTTGGAGAGGGTGGTAGTTAAAGGTGAGCCTTTATTAACCCCTGACAGACTGCTGTTGTAAACAGGAGTTATAATGACTATTGGTTGAACCAAACTGTAAAAAATATTTAGGAAGTATGGATAGAAAGAGTTTTAACAATGAAAGCAATGAAAATATCTTCAGAAATAAACACTTGGAAAAGGAGTTCAAGTTTAAAAATTGTTCCTACCCATTGTACATAAACACCACACTCATAAAAACAAGGACAAGGGCAATAAGGAGTACCTTTTATTTTGCTTTCCCTGTATAATGAACAATTGTATTAAACAAGAAAGATACAGCATATAAACCTTAATATTGAGCTAGTTACTCTTGAGGTTCCTTTATATATCACTCTAATAAATAATATACATTTTTATTTCCACTTATTTTTAAAGGTGTGAACAAATAATGTACCTAAAAAGATATTGTTTTTTAACTGGTTTGTGATAGAATATTTATAGTAGTTGTTTCTCCATAATAATGTTGTATATTTAACACAAAGATGGAAAAAGTACAACATTGTTGGCTTAAGACAAAACTATGTGTTTTTATGGTTTACATTTCAGTATTAATAATTAATGAGTATACAGATGATTTTGTTCCCCCTTTAAAGGAGCTTTATATGATAGCTACATATGAAAATTACTAAAGTGTTTTTAGTAGTTTAGTTTTTAGGTGTTTAACTGTAAAATGGTTTGATGTTGATGAAATAGAGATGGCTTCATTTTTCATAAGAATGATCTTTAGTCACATTAAATGGTACGACTAAAATTTTTTCTATTGCAGACCTTCAAGTGCCTTTCATAAGTGATGATGTGGAAGTTTCAGACAGACAAGTGAGATGTGATTCTGTTCATTGGATCAGGATACTCAAAGATCTTGGTTATGTTTCTTGCTGAGGTGCCAAGTGCCACTGGAGAGGTGGTAGGGTAACCAAGATATCTACATTGTGTTTTGAACTGACAGTTACAAACCAAGACCTATATACTTAGCACGGCCAGGAGCAATATCTAATACTGTCTGGAATGGCACTAGATGCTATATTTAGGAAAAGGAGTCCCTCACTGACCTAAGGAGACATTGATTTTATGGAGAGATGACTTGCACCCTTGAAGTTGCCTTTGTCAATGATAAAGGGAATGTAGAGTGACACGTCCAGTCATGGGCATTTAAGATGTAAAAATAAAGTTAGGTGAGCTGAATTTTACTTTTGCGATCTAAGTCCAAAACCTACTGCTCTAATCTTCTGTTCAGACTCCCAGTTCATCCTGGGAGGCCCATAAAATATTTAAGTTTCTAATTTCTATTCTTCCCCTGAATTACATAGAAAAGCTGGGTAACCAAGTTAGCATTTAGGACCATAAATTGTTAGATCGCTAGCTTCAAAGTGTATTGGTGTCATACCATGGAAACAAGGAGCCTTCATGCCTTACAGTTGTTAAATACGTCTGTCAAAACACAACCGGAATTGATCCTGTTTTCTCTAAGAAAATCTTATCATTAGGACAATTTTTTTAAGAATTGGGTTCAAGACTTGTTTCAGCTTCAGATTACTCGATGTTTGATTCAGATGACCGTGAATAAGGCCCTAGTGCTATTCCAAACACCCCAGGTTTATCTGTCTGCAGAGCTGGTGGACATAACACGGGAGCTAAGTAGACCTGGGTTGTCAACTAAAGGGCAGCTGGAGTTCTACTCTGCACACATTTACAACTTTAAATACCTAGGTATAGGCAACTGGATGAATCTCTGCATGTAAGTGTATAAACTTCAGAGGGAGGCAGTGGTATAGCCAAATTCTGTGGCTGACGTTCCATAACTGCTCTCTTTACATTAGTGTGCTCCCAGTAGGCAAACTCTTTGGTGCCTAGTTCACTCCACTAATCAATTAGGAAGCCTAAGCACCCAATTTAGGCAGTCTGTGACTACCTAATTAATGTTCTTAATTTTCCTATCTCCTAAAAGGGAATTAGGAGATGATATAACTCTTTTGAGACTGTGCCCAAGCAGCCAGCACTTCATTATTGAAATTATCCAAGAGTCAAAAACCTGCTTCTGGACAATCTGCTAACTGCCTAAATCCTGGTCCACCAGATATGTAACACATGCCTATACAATCTTTGGATTTAGTTATTTTATCCAACACCTTCATTGTATATGTAGCTCTGTAAGAATAGGTTTAACTCCTGATGTACCTTGCCAAGTTCTGTGGCCCTGTAAATGGATAGGGGATGCCAAGCCCTTCAGGATTTGTTGCATAAAAGTAGAATAGAGCATATGCTTTAAGTTTAGTGTGAACTTGTTTTCATTTAAAGGTAGAAAATTCTGATCCAATTCATACTGTTTTGTCAAGGATTTGAAACTGCATCTCTCACCAAAATGTTCTAAGCATCAGGCTAGTAGATTTTCTGGGGTTGGCTGCTCACAGCCTCTCCTTGCAAGATGTGATGTTCCACTTCACAGAGAGTGATTAAATATTCATTAAGCTAGTGAAAGAACAAGCTTCTCAGAAGACAGAAAGAGTCTGGTACTTAAGGCAGTCACCTGGGAAAAAGGGAGATCTGGATTCCAGTCACTGCTGTAATGATTACTTAGTATTAAATACATACACTCGTTCACGAACTGGAACCCAGCTTCTTTTTTTTCTTGTGGGGTGGGGGTTGGCTATCAAGTACTTCATGCTTTCTGTCTGTTCCAGTGATTACTTAATTATCCAGGAAAGCTGTGGTTGGGAAGAGCAAGCACTTCTTTAAGAGGTGGGAGATTGTAGTTCTATGTGGCAAGGAAAACTAAATGTCTGTTTTTCAGGTCCTTTTAATATCCAAAAGATAGAAGAGGGACAGAACACCCTTTCATTAGGGGGTAAATGCTGTAATTCAGGACTTCAGAATCATGGAATTCCAAGTGGAAGGCAGCATCTCCTCTAATTCAAAAGTAAGTTGCAGCGCAGGGAGAAGGTTTAAGGGATATGCTAAATATTGACATTTCCTTAAGTGCTTCCTTGCCTAGAATACCTTTGTGGATTCCATCTTTTCAGTACAATCTGTAAGGAAAGAGACTTCTAACTTAGGACTATAGATTTTGTTGCAAAATTATGTCTGTACTATGATATTTAACTAAAATCCCTTGCAGATCTACCCTTTAAGGTAAAATTCTCAAAGACATTTTGCTTTGCTGAAGTCAGTGTCAATTTTACCACGGACTTAAGAAGGGGCAGATCTGTACCAGCAGACGTGTCTTTTATGCCTCATTTTCCCCGTGCAATTTCAAAGGAAAAAGAGTATATACCCTGTTAAACACAAGTTTCCATTATAATTTAATTCTTGATACAAAGATAATGGATTTATTTCTTTGATTTTTTTAACATATGTGTTTCTATGCTGACAAATATAAAGTTATGTATATTGTTGTGAATAATTTGAACTTCTACTATGCCTGACAGAGATGTGTCTCTCATTTATCAACAAATGACCTAGGAAGTTTCAGGGGTAAATCTGAGCATCAAATTATGTTTATGAACTTACTAATTCAAGACCTGAATTACAAATATCTGCCCAAGAAAACACCTATTGGGCACTGAAAAATTCTGGCATTAGGCAGTAGAGAGAAAGAAAAGAAAAATAAATATTGACTTCCTTGTAGAACACATTGAAAAATAATTTTAAAAAAACAACCAGACAAATCTTTTCCATGTCACAATATGAACCAGATGTAAATTTTCACCTGTAAAGATAAACAACTGGTTTTTTTGTGCCTCAGAAAGAAGATGGAAAAAGTGATTCAGAAAAAACAGGAGACTTGATTGATTTTTGCATGAAGATATAACAAAGTAGACCTTAAATAACACTTTCTCATATTTTGTATTTTCTCCTTTCTCTCTGTCTCCCCTTCCTGCCTACCATTAATCCTTTACTGTTTCCTTTTCTCTTTGATTTTTTCCCCTCTTTCACTTCTGCTCTTTTACTTTCTTCCTGCACTCTTATCCCTCTATTCAACCATGGGCATTCAACTCACTTGCCCAGTATAATCCTTAAAATCCTCCTTAAATGGAAGATTTGGCTGCAAACTCATTCATAGCTACATTTTTCTTTCCCAATAGAACAAAATATTTATCCAGAAAGGCATGATAGGAAAGCTAGGATCCTCTGTTTCTGAAAATAGAGTCTTTGAACTTTTCAGCCAGAGGAAGTTTTCTGTTGGCTATCACTTATAAAAAACTGTTGGCTTTGTTCATTTTTGTTCTTATTCGCTAAAGTTCAACAAGCTAAAAGAAATATCTGGGCCTTGATCCTTTCTATTGAAAGCACAAAGGAGAAAGAGGGGACTAGAAAGGAAAACTATTGGGTTACACTAAGCTAGTGTGTGCTCTTCCAGACTGAAAGAGCAAGATTAAGGATGAGATGTGGATAGGATGAGGCAAGAGATACGGAAATTCTCCCTAAAGGCTCTGTACTTGTCTGCTTGCTGTTAATAACCTTTTTAGCTTCAACATGCCAGAAGCTCTCTGCACTACCTGCCTTTCTAAAAGGATAGAAGACACTTTAAATAATTCCAAATTGAGTCATGTTAAGAAAAAAGAAGTAAAAAAATGAGAAGCCAGCAAGCAAGTGGGTTCCTTGGTGTGGCTCAGAAGTGCTGGAGCAGGTGACTCACCCCTGGGGGGGCAGCCAGTACTGTGTTGGCCAGTGTTCCACTCTTGCCCTGGCATCTGAGATTCATGTTCCAACTAGCCCTTAAACTGGGAAGTACTCAGGGATGCTGCTAGGTCACTTTTTAATTAAAATCCAAAAGATTCTAGGAATACATTGGGAAATTCATAAAATAATTTTACTTGTAACTGTTTTACTATTGTCCCTATTCCTCTTCACTAAACCTCTCTCTTCTAAGGAATCAGAGACAAGTCTCTCACCTTGCAAATAAAAGCCTGGTTCCCAACAAATGATATGCTGATGGTCATTTTAAAGGAGTCACTCTAAATTAATTTATTAATGTCAGACCATTCCTGTATGTGCGCAGCCAATGCAATTGTACAGAAGAAAAACCCATCAGGAACTTTAAAGTGCCAAAGATACCACTTCTGTTTCTATGTTTCTGTTTCTGGCACTGAGTCCAGCATCAAAATAAATGCTACTGCTCATCTGCAGCGTCACTAGGACAGGCAGTCAGTAAAGTCTGTCTAAAGTGTGTCTGCTCGAGTGTGAGCAGGCTGGGTAAGGTGTCCTGCTCTGGCATGCACGGTGGCCAAAGAAAAATAATGAGACACTTATTTAGGGGTTCAAGAGAGACTTCATGCTGTTTTCTGTGATGTCAGTGGCAATCAGTAGGAAAGGGGCAACAAGGGGCAATTATTTATCTGATTGCTTTCTCTTAGAAATGTATCAGATCTTCAATCAGCAGCAAAATTGGGTTTAAAGCTCTTCACAAAGAAGAAAAGCAAGTATTCCACAGCCTTCTCAGTCTGTGTGTAAGAATTTATAGATATGCATGCTCTAATTGTGCCCTTTGGACCAACTTCAGGAGGAAAGGTGTGAGCACACACACCGACTATGCACCTACAGAGGGGAAGGTCTTCTCAGGGTGAGACCACAGGCTTGTGTACACATAGAACCTGGCTGTTACACACCTGGGTGAGTAGTTTAGGACCAGAATTATTGTATAACCTGGTTAAGTGTTTTAACCACGAGACTAGTGTGTAATAGTTGGGAATCACAGTAATGTCATACTCAGCAGAGCCCAAACAATTAAAGGTCAGACTGAAGAAGTCTAGGAAATCAGGTTCTTCTGGGAACTTCTCTCTCCTACTAGGATTCTGAAATGCTGATAGACAGAAAGATGCATCCTAAAAAGCCATCCCAGCTACAAAAAAACCCCAAACAAAACAAAAAATCCAACCAACCCCCCCCATAAAAACCAACCAAAAAAACCCCAAAACAAAACCAAAAAAACCCAATAAAGCAGGTGACTTAATACACCTAGCAGTGTTATACTGCTCTAATGCTATACTATCTTATAAGAATTTAAGAAACTCACACACTGTTAATTCTAAAAAAAATCTAAATTTAAACAATTAAAATCCATAAAAATCTGAAAACTGAAGCCAATCTTGAAACTGCATGACATTTATTTTTCTTCTGGTAATTTTCTTAATAGCACTTAAGGCATTAGTCACTATAGCCTAGTCAGAGCTCCTGATACTCTGGTGACACTCCTGAAATACTGAAAAATTCCAAACAGTTTTTATGGTGGGAAAAAAGGGAGGAGGTATAGGTAACTGTAGTTTTACAGGCCATTTCTAATAAAATGAAGATTACAAGTTATGCCAGCCTCTTCTAGATACCTTTAAAGTCACTGGTTTTGAGAAAAGATTTGTTGAAATGCCATCACCATCCTCTCAGAATTCACCCTGCCGAGTACTACTCAAAATTAATGAAAAACATCAGTGAAATTAACAGCAAATTTCTTAGTTTCTAAGATGTGAAAAGAATTGCAGCCTACACTAATGAGGCTCTTAGTTTTGAGAATGAAAGCCAAACTCCATAGTTCATTGTCACAGAAAAAATGGAACTATAAATGATATAAAAGCAGCCAGGCTGAAGAATTTGGGAAATATTAATTTGTGAACTGACCAGTTTGGCATAATAGACTGTCTTTATTTTATTTCAGATTGAAAAGAAGAAAAAAAAATTCAAGGTAGAATAAAAAGAGACGTGTTTTCAAAATACAGTATTTGTGTGCACACATAGATGGTTATCTACATTGACCATTGAGATACAGTGAGAAGAAATGGACAAGAGGGAAAAATTAGTGACTGCTGTTGTTTATCACAGTCTCAAGAAATTATAAATCTGAAAAATTAGTGACTGCTGTTGTTTATCACAGTCTCAAGAAATTATAAATCTGCTGATGTTCATCTTAAAGACTTTCTTTCTTTTTCTTTATACTTTTCCTGACCTAAATGTGTTTGCACTGGACTTTGAGATTCAGCACATCTGTCTGCTACTTTTTTTTTTTTTTATTGTGTGCTAGGAGCCTCCAGAGCCCTCTCTGTGTGCTAGGAGCCTCCAGAGCCCTCTCTCTGTTTTCCCTTTGTTATCAAACACAACAAGACCATGTGCAAGTTTAGTTCTGTTGCAGATAATCTCACTGTCAGCAGCAGCTTTCCTTAGCTCTCACTACCACCATCCTCTTGGCACAGCTGCTACCGAGTCCACATCCACTGGATTCCATGTCAGAGAGACTCTCGTTCTGACATGGATGTGTCCATGGGATGTGTTTAAAGAAACCAGAGTGTAAAACTACCTTTTAATTACAAGTTCTTGAGTCAAAGACACTGCACTGCTTTCATTTCTTCTAGCGGGTTTATAGCTATAAGAAAATTCCTAGCAGTTTATACCAAGAACGGAGGAACATAACAGACAAAATGTATTCATTTTATGGAGGTTGGGTCAAAGGCAGCTCATTCCTGTTAAAATATTTTGGAAGTGATGGTGACCAAAGGAAATGGAAACATTTATATGTTTGCCAAGTTAGGATGGGATTAGCATTGCAGGCTTCAATCAGAGGTAATTGCCTCCTTTTATAAGCAACAGGCAACAACAAAAACATGCTTCTGGGGAGTGATACCTCTCTTCTGAAAGTAGATGTCCAAATACATCATGTGAATTGAGATCCACAACTGTCTGGCACTCCTCATTGCCCAAGTATCTAGACAAATAATTTTTATGTAAATGTCAACATATAAGACATCTCAGGCTGGCCAAGAGAAACCTCACACATATTGTATTTTTTCAGGTACATATTCAGGAATATCACTTAAAATGCACATCTGAAATACATGCAGGTATTTCACTTTTATCAACTGGAACTTCTAGTGCAAAATTCAGATATCCAGCTTTGCTAACCTCACACATCCAGTGCTGAGATCCTCTAGAATAAATTACTTTCTGAAGGAGATGTTGGAGTGATCCAAAATGATGCCAGGGAGTTACTTGTCCAGTGTCACAGATAGTCAGAGGCACTCTGACCTATTCTGTTGCTACAGGGTTGAATGGTGCTTTAGTTATATAACACTATGGGACCCATCTATTTATTTGTTTGTTTGGTGTGGAAAAAAAAAAAAGGAAACTATACAAAACCTTTAAAATTAACACAGTTGTATTAAGGCAGTAAATAAATACTTTTGGAAGAAACGGTTTTAGGAGGAACGTATTTCTAATGGTCTTTCAGACTTTAGTCTAAATGGTCTTTTAATCTTTTAGATTTAGTGTATTATTTTTATGGTTACATTGAGATTACTTTTAATTTACTCTGTACCTTTTTTCACACAGAAATAGAAAACATTTCTTTCAAGAAAATACTCAGATCAGGAGGGAAAAGAGCACAAACTATTCTGTTTATTTCCTTTGCTTTCACACATATCATAGCTTGAAAAATGTTGAAGTGATGGTGTATCTCTGATTGCAATTATCTCCATGTTTTGGGGAATGCAATTATTTTGAAGGAACCTATCTTTTCTTGCTCATTGCATTGTTCTCTTGATTTTCTTTGTCACCCTCTCTTTTTTTTTCTCCCCATTGTCTTCTGACTAACTGGAAATTGATTTTTTTTCTAAGTAGGATAGTTATTTCTGTGCTCTTTAGGTAAGTGTTTAATTTGATACTTGATTTTAAAAAAAAAATTCTCCTGTTGCTGGTTTGTCTTTACTATGTATTGCTTTAATGATTCATGGTAGGCTTCCTATGCATTGATTAATACAAATAAATAATATGTTAGTATTTTTGGTAAGAAGGAATACACATACATATATTTCCTGTATATAAGTAATCTGACTCTTCTGCTCTCTTTCTAAATACAGTTACATCACGAAATTGATTTTGCTCCTTTCCAATGCAGAGCTACAGTGAACAAAAAACCCCAAATTCTACAATTAATGGGAATCCTAATTACTTCTTACAGGTCAGAAACTTTTGGAAGGAAAAATTAAATTTTTTTTTGGTCTGTACAACATGAGTATTATGTATCATAAATCTAATATCTGATCTTGCCATATGTAATTCAAACAAATAATTGTTTGTGAAAATCTGAAAAAAAAAAAGAAGTTCAAACCCATTATTTGTAGGGAAACCTGATGAAATATTTTCTCATTTCACTTGTGAAGAACTCTGTCTTGCTACTCAGAATAAAAGAGATATCTAAAGTAAAGAGCAGCAAGACACAATATCTCATCAACTGAAATGAAAATCTCATTTATCTAATCACACATTCCTATTATATTTGCATTATACAAAGTGCATCAGTTCATCTCATCTAATACTGGGGGAAGGCAGATAAAAAAGTTGATGAAAGAAAAAAATTATTCACTTAATTCCCTTGCCAGAGAAGTTTTTGAGAAGCCATCATATGCTGTGAGAATAACCAGAGTGCAAAGCCAGCTCTAGCAGAGGTGGAAGTGGATATCTCCGTGATGGTTTATCTCCTGAGGACACTACAGAAGCTGCTGCCTCATCCAGAATAAATTTTCTGGAAGACTGCAAGTTAGATCATAATTATGACCAAAATACTTTCTCAGCTGGATGGTAGGTAGTTACCTTTGCAGACCGTTGTATCAGGATGCAATACTTCTTTTGCAGGTATTTATATCATTATTGACAATTCAGATGAATTTATGACTTCTGTGTTGGGGTACCTGCTGTATCAAAATAACTAGCAATGTCTGTGAATACAAGAAACACTGTCCTTTTCTGCTGCTTTCACTTAGGGTTCTCTGTGTTTAAGTATGCAGGAGCACTTGGTGGTGCTGGCTTGACCTGCCAAGATACTTCTTTCCTTTAATTAAAATATCTGCTTTAGCATATAATCTGTCAAATAACTACATTAGTCAGGGTGTTAGAGAAAGGTGTGGAAGCAAGAAAGTAAGAAAATAGAGACAAATATTCACTAGAAAATCGCA